CACCTTAATTGTACAGATGGACACTCAGGCCCAGAGAAGCTAAGTGAGAAGCCTGTGAGAGTGTGGAATTGAAACCAGGCTCCTCATAATGAACTATTGCTTCTCCTGATGAAGGAAATCAGAGTGATTTTCCCAAAGTCTCATGGGAAGTCTGTGACAGACAGGAACTGAATCCAGGTATCCCAAATCCTAAGCTACTCCCTTAATCATTGAATCATCATTGTTCTCTGTCAAACTTCAGTTTGCATATGGTAGAATATAAAAGGCCAGATTCTCAGTGGCTGCAAATCAATTTTGTTACACAGACTCAGTAGTTAAGGGGACATTTTCATAAAGCACCTAAGGGTTTTAAGAGCATAAATCCCCTACAAACTTTCAAATGAGTTGAGAGTCCTAAATTCCTAAGCATCTTGGAAAAATCTTCTCCCTAACTATTTCTGTGTACCAAAGATGACGGTGTACCAAATACTTAAATGATCCAGGATTTTGTTTTGGTTTTCTTTAAAAGTAGAATCATAGTCTAAAGCGGATCTGAATCATGAATGGGGTTAGCGATTAAATGATGGAAGATTTGTTGAAAGACAAATTTAACAAAATGTTTTTGTTGCTAATCTTTGGCCCTCTAGCCCTTGTTAATATTAGTCTGGGGGTTGTAAACCCCCCCCCCCCCAAATAAAATGGCATATAAGTCATCCAGCAAATGGCTGATTCTTCCATACAAACATGCTTGATGGAGAAATTTCAAATGGAGTAAACAAAGGTGCTTGAGCTGACTGGGTTTGAAGGTACAGCGCAGGGAAAGGAGACTTGGAAGGGAGGATGCAATAGCTCTTCCAGATTTCCATTTGAATAATCAGAGCTCCTTGTTTCAGGACTCTTCCTCTTTTCAAAGTAACAGGGTCTTAATGTAACACAAGACAGTTTTGGTAATTTTGATGAGACCTGATTATGGCACAGCTACAGAGATGAATAAAAAACTACGCCTGCAATACATTCTCTTGCATAGCTGCATCAAGGAAAAGGCACATTCAGAAAACAGCTTAAATAAGACCTTAATCAGAGGTGTAACAAGGCAATTGAGCGCTGAAACAGCAGTGATGAACAAAATGTGCCAGTGACTTGTGGTTGCTGCTGGTTTGACTGGGGGGTGGCAGTGCTTGCTGCTATTTTTTTCACCTATAAGGCGGTGCCTGGGGTGGCTACCCCAGTTACCCCACCTTAGTTATGCTACTGACTTCAGTACAAGCTGAGAAAGTTATTGATGGACTACAAGTCCACAAATCTCAGACTGAGTTACAGCAATAGATAATGACTAGGCCAAAAAGGTACAGACTATAGTACCATACAGACAGGGTTGTAGAAATAGAATATAGCAATGCAAATAGACTGGTGGACTGGTGGTTTAAACATGTACAACCCTCTCTTTGCTCATAGAATGTATTAGTTAACACAGCTTACACTATCAATTGTCTAAGAGGAGGTGCCATAGGTTGCCATGGCAGATGAAAGCAGAGGGACTAAATAAAAACAAAGTTATTAAAAGTTTGTTTGGGAGAGGAGAGTGGAGTTGCTAGGATTGTCTGATTCTTTGTTGGCAGATTTCTTACTTTTAGATGAATTATTATCTATATAATGTAACTGTTGCATGTTTACGCCTATCTGGAAATGATATTTGTACATTCAGTTGCAGAAGTATGACACTGCTGAGTATATACATTACTTCTGACTAGAGCTGTGTGAATAACTGATTTGGGGACAGGATTTGGTGGTTGATCCAAAACAAACTGAGACAGAAAAAAAAATTCTAATTTAGTTTGAACGAAATATATGTTTACATTAGTTTTCTTCCCAAAAAATGATAGTTTCAGAATCAAACTCCAGAAAAAGTTTTATTTCCTTTTTAGTCATTTTTAACTATTAGTGCATTTGAAAGGCTACACTCAAAGTTCTTTCAGTGGTTCAAATCCTCTCAAGCAACGAGGGAACTGAACCTGGGTCTTTCAAAGCCTGGCTGAGTGTTGTTACAATTTTGGATTGTTATATAAAAGGCACTGCTGCTACTATGCCTTTACCTGTTTTTCATTAATCTAACCCCTATATTTTTTGCAGCTGAATGTATTCTATATATTTACTGCAAATGCACCCAGTAGTTTCTGATCATCCACAGCCACTTTTTCAGACAATAGCTTATTTGTTGGAAATATATACATATGCCCAGCTCTATCTCTGTTTCCTGTCCCCTCACCTGCTACCCTGAGATTTATTAGCATAACCAGGCCCCTAAGCAGCTTCACTGCCTTGAATTCAATGGAAACAGTCTCACTGGCATCAATAATCTTTGGATCCAACAGTGTCACTTGAAGAAAAATATTTTCCCTTACGCTAAATGTGATATTCCACCCTGTTCCCCACAAATAACATCCACCTAAGGCCCAGAATGTGTCAGACTCAGGCCTCTTTTAGTAATAGCTTTCTTAGACATAAAAAATATCACAGTTTAAAGTCTAGTAAGGACTCTGGAGCAGTCAGAGATATCATGATGCTTTTATGCATACTAAGGCCATGTTAGGTCAACTCTGAGAGTGTCTGACATTGATGTTTACTCATTTAGTTTTTCTTTACTCCAAGATTTGAACCTTTAAACTCAGTAAACTAAATCACATGGCTTTTCATCCTACATTAATGCCAACAGAAAGCTCTATAACACACTATGATATATGTTCAATGGCAAAGTATAGTATCTATTACAAAATTTCTGGCTGTTAGGTGAAATACTTGAAATCTACCTTTCATTGTACTGTTTTAGGGATTCTGTACACATCAGCAGAGGGAAAGAACATAAAGGCAAAAAATACTATTTTTCTCTAGGCTTTGAAACATGCAAAATGCAGAACTGAATTGGCAAATTGGGGAGGTTAGTGACTGAAGACATCAAACTACTTGACATGCAAGTGCAAGCTCTGTATACTACCAAAGTGTGGAGGTCATTTCTTTGTTATTCTGCTTTCTCCCACCCTAGGACTTTACGAAACAAAACTGAGTGGAAATGTAATAAAAAGCTGTCAATTGCAAACCAATATCCATTCTTCACAGGTTTAATGGCTGGAACTTTTATGGTCTGTTTTGCAAATTACTATTAAAATACCTCACCACACTGATTTAAAAAGCCATAAATGACTGTGAAAAGCTGCCTCTAGTGAGTAAGGACTTGGATGCAGTTGGCTTCACTATTCATAATGTTGGTGTTTGAGTACTTCTAACCATGCTTTGAAATTAACACCTCATTAAGGTGAGTGGAAGGCTCTTTTAAGAAGGAACTTTTCCTGTTGGAGAAAATTTTCTGGGAGGCTTGGCTTAAAAATTACCATATCTACCTGAATACAAGAGGAGGTTTTTCCCCCAACAGCATAAGGAAAAACATTCTTTGTCTTATACTTGTATAAAAGGAAACTTCATTAAACATACTGAATACCATTAAATTAATGGCAAAAGCAGTGGATTCTCAGTAATGGAAACCAACTGTCAAGTTGATTAAATTCAACCAACACTAAGGATGCTTATAAAATGATACTGGGCACATATACTGATGGGAACCCACCATGAATATAGGTTAGTATAGCCTACCTGAATAATATATATATTAGTGCCCACTGTGCGCAGTTCCCCTCTGCACCAACTCTTTTTAAAGTCATGGTGAGCAACTACTTTGAATATATTTCAACTTCCTCTTCACCCCCTCAGCTGAGCTGCACCTTTCTTTCCCATTTCCAATGATTCCTGTTTCTTCATCAGCCTAAAGTGGCTGGCAAACATCACCAAATGGGGCCCCAAACAGTTCATGCAGAATCCCTCTATGGCTTCCTTCTCTCAGCCTGCTGTACATGATTAGTGTGGCCTCATCCTCTATGAGGTGGAGCTAGACCAAGATGCCCTGTGCCTCATCTGCATGTACATTTTTGGAAGATCCCAGGACTCATGACAAGAGCACCCAGCTCCAGTCATGACTTAGGGGCTAATTAGCATGTGGATCCATTGTGCAGGTATCTGAAGTACACACATATAGTGAGCAAGTGCTGAGCTATGTGGTTATTGAATATTAAACATTGTGCAGCCTCCTTCAATCTCATAGCTAAGATCCTAGGAAAAAGGGACAGTTATTGGCCCAGCACTGCCAGCAGTTCCAGGGGAACTTGTCTTAATAAATGTTCTCAATAGTACCAGTAACCAAAGGGCCTACTGTCATCTGTTGCCTCCACCTGCATCCCTCCAGGTTATGTTCAGTCCCATACTTTACTCCCTGTGTGTTCCTCCTTCCCCACCTTGGTTCCTGTGATTTTTAGTAATGATAAAAGACAGTGTTCCTCCACTTCACAAATTCCTGTCTCTGAAAAGGGGAAAGAGAAGACCACCTGACCCAGAAACAAAGACACTTCTCCATTACCTGTGTGTTAAAAGTTACGCATTTACAGAAAAAAATGGACGGAATTGAGAGTATAGTCCCCTCTAGTTTGAAGAGGAAGACTGATGTTAGTGCACTTAAATATTAAAGCTTTGGTCTCATAGGTGACTCTATGCAAGTGCAAAACACAAAGTTAGTTGCAGGGTCAAAACTAGTGATTATTATTAATATGGGGGCATTGTGGTGTAGTAGACTGTCTACTGTACTAGAACACAGAAGACCCTAGTTCTCTTTTCAGCTCTGTCACCCAGATGAAGTGTGACCTGGGGTAGCCATGTCACTTTGCTGCTTCAGATGCCCTAGGTTTCACTATAACATGAATACTTTTCAATGAAAAGTAAAATTTATGGACTAATCTGACTGAAAATTTCCATATGTTTCAGTCTGAGCATTCATAGTTTGAGTAACTACCATTTTTCTTCAGAGATTTTTTTGTGAGAAGTAAGAAGTTAGTCCTGGGACTATAATTAAGATTCATGCCTTATTTTTCTTAATTAGTCAGTGTTCAATAAGCAAAAAGCCTGCAGAGGCGGGTACATACTTTTTGTCACAACACCCTCCAAGTGAATGATGTTAGGATGATCGAACTGTCCCATAATGCTTGCTTCCCCCAGGAAATCTCGTCTTTGCTTCTCAGTGTAGCCCACTTTGAGGGTTTTGATGGCCACTGGAAACTCACGTTTTCCTTGCAGCTTCAGACGTCCACTACAGACTTCACCAAACTCACCTTCAGGAAACAATGACAGAAAGAAAAATATCATTGGATATCTGAAAAACACCCCTGAATAACAGAATACATAATGCAAACTGATACCAAAACATGAGCCATATTACTAGATATACAGCCAGAAGGGGCCACTATGCATGGAATATCATGCATCTGACAGTACTACAAAGTCACAAATTTTGTCTTTTGGGAAGACATCTGACCCTGAATGAGTGCCAAAACAATTCCGAGTGATTAAAAGCCCACCAAATCTCTAAGTTGTTACAATGGGTGACTGTCACCATGCTTAAAAAGCTGTGTCTAATTTCCAATTTAATTTTTTAAACTTTATGCCTATTTAAGAGCCCGGTAGTATTCCATAAGTCATAAGTAATCCTACATTGTGATTGAGTAACTTAAATTTCTCTCTGGTAAGTAAAATAGACTGAGATCATTTTGAAATTTATATTTTTCTAAGCAGAAGTCATCCATACAGCTCCTCTTCTAAGACTTTCCAATACCCCAGTAGCAGTCTCACCAGCAGTTCATACAAAGTTGGCACACAATGGTTAAAAATACTTGAGTTCATATCTGCTACTTATGCAGGCAAAAAAATGGGTGATGTTTTTGACAAACAGTAACTGACAAAAAATGCAGTTTCAGGATAAAATAAAATGAACTACAGTTCAAAATATAAAAATTGTTATATAAAATTTAACAAACAACTTTGCCTGAAAGACAACGGGAAAAAATTGGAAAGGTCAAAAGGTTTTGTTCTGACATTTTCAAAAGGAGCTAATTTTACTTCAGTTTGAAATTGATTTACAATAAAAAGGGGTTATAAAAGGGATAGTCAATCCCAAAACTAAATAAAACTTTTCAAGTGGAATATTTCAAGAGAAACCCATTTTTTGGTTATATCACCCCACTGAAAAATCTTTTTCACACAGATTGACAAATGGCTCTATTCTTTTGCAACTGCAGTCAGTAATAGGCATCTCGTTGACATCAGTGTGAGCAGGAGCAGGGCCTAAATTAGTTACAAAGGTGTCTCCGCAAAGCCCATATTTGAAAAGTCTCTTATTAGTCTGAAGATTATGATGCTAATGGCAGTTAAAAATGATTGCTAATTATATCTTCTTACCAGCTCCAATAACTCTTTCAATTGTTATGCATGAAGCTTCTATCTCCTTGGCAAATTCATGGACAGCTTGATTGGGGTCCTCATAGGTATGTGGGTCGATATAAGTCCTTACTCCTGGTAATTTAACTGTGAACATAATTTAAAATTTAATTGGCATATGAAGTTATGGATGTAGATAGTACTCATCTCTTCTGCTAACTTTTCCCACACTGGAAAACACTGCAGGGAGTGAATGGTTTAATCTTGCCATGCCTCAGTTCCCCCTTGGTTCATTTTGATAAAACATCCATACTTTACATCAATATTGTGGTGTTAAAGATTATGAGACACTGTACTAATATAATGGAGCCCCTTATGGCAGAGAGCGGTCTCATGGTCAGTCTACCCATGGAAAAGATGGATGGAAAAAAAAGATCAAAAAAGAAGGGACAACTTTTCAAAAGGATTCTGCTCCTATTTAGGCACTGCCAGAAGAAATTTCCCCAAGTCACTTAAGGGATTAAGGAGCACTGTTCCTGTTAATTTACAAGGGAGTATGCTCCTAATTGTAGGTGCTTTTGTGAAACCTCTCCTCACACTGTGCAGTAATGGGAGCTGCTGACTTGTGTAGTCCTCCTGAAAGTCTGTCCCAGAGAATGCAACATCCTCCTCCTGGAAAGCTGCAACGCACAATACACTAATGATTACGTATCACCTACTTAATCAACTCTGCATTGCAAAAAACGTTACCATGAATTAAAAGTGGAAGAGAATATGTTTGCAATGTAACAAAGCTTGTGGGTTGCATTTCCATGAAACAAAAAAAATCAATATTAGGCTTGTTGTCTGGGATGTGGCAGGAGAGCAGGAAGTACTTCTACAGGAATTACTATTGCTATTATTACAACTTTGTTCTTAAATTTATTAGACCTACTTGTGCCAGTACCTGCTCATCAGTGCAAACCCAAGGTTTACGATGTATCCCTTAAGAAGTTACTTTTTGCTGCTTCTATTAAATTGCATTAATGGATGTTTGATTTTACTGCAGAAAAAGATTTTAAAAAACCCAGATAGCTAAATACCTTATTTACTCAAAGCCAAGACAAGGCTTTTTCCCTCATTCAGCATGGAGTAAAATCAGCGTGTCTTAGATTTGAGTATAAATGGTGGGCAGGTGGCTGCAGCAGCTCTGACTCCAACCCAGACTTAGGCTTGGGGTTGGAGCCACAGTGGCAGCTGCTACCCTGCCATCACCTGTTCCTCACAACTGCTCCCCCATTCCTACAGGTCTCCTTCCCACCACCATCTCTGCCCAACCCTGCTCTCCTCCTTCCCCTACCAATCATGGCTCCAGATAACTCCATACCCGATCCTTATGCTGAGCCCTGACCTGAATGCTACCCTCACACATCAGCCCTAACACTGTCCCCTACCCCCATGTCCTAATGGCCACATACCTGATACTATTGCTAAGCCGCTGTGCCCTGACCTAAATGATGCCTTTTGTATCCTAATCCTAATGCTCCCCTAACCTCCTAACTGCTGGTCCCAGATAGTTCCACACCTGGCCTGAATGTTGAATTCCTGCACTCTGA